GTTCTTCAGTGTCTCCTGGTATGATTGCTGGTATAGTTAGTGGTATTGTTATTTTCATTGCGGTGCTTTTGTTTGTGTTTGTGTTCATCAAATGTTATGGAAATAAAAAGCATGTTGTGAGGATAGTGGCTAGTGAAAATGGGTGCAATGGAGTCCCAAGTGATAAAACTGGCCTTCATCTTTCTGAGAGTGGAAATGTTGCAATTTCGATCGAAGTTCTTCGAAAAGTGACAAACAACTTTAGTGAGGATAATATATTGGGGAGAGGAGGATTTGGAGTTGTTTACAAAGGTGAATTGCATGATGGGACTAGAATTGCTGTTAAAAGGATGGAATGTGTGGCAGTGAGCACTGAAGGAATGAATGAGTTCGAGGCAGAAATTGCATTCCTAGCTAAGGTCAAGCATAGGCATCTAGTTGCTCTTTTAGGATACTGCATCAATGGAAATGAGAGGCTTTTGGTGTACGAGTACATGCCACAAGGGACATTAACACAGCACTTGTTTAATTGGCGTGAGAACGGCGTACCTCCTCTTACTTGGAGGCAGAGAATCACAATAGCATTGGATGTGGCAAGAGGAGTTGAATATCTGCATGGCTTAGCTCCACAAAGTTTCATTCATAGAGACTTAAAACCCTCTAACATTCTTCTAGGGGATGACATGAGGGCCAAGGTGGCCGACTTTGGCTTGGTAAAACATGCCCCTGATGCGAATTCTGTTGAGACTCGGGTGGCAGGGACGTTCGGTTATCTTGCACCAGAATATACAGGTGAAGAATAAAAACACACTTATTTTTTTTATATGTTCATGTCTTAATTGAAACAATGAAGAAGCATTGCCTAAAAACTTCAAGGATATCAGATTTTCAAAGCTAATCTTATGCTTATTTTCACAAGTTTTTAGAACTCCACAAAAGGAAGGAAAAACAGACAGTTGAGTTCACTTGGAATTGATGCTACTATTGTCTAATTGTCATAATTTGGTTTAATTCATCCTTCAAAAAGTATAGCACACATGTAGTAAAATTTAAATCCCCTTCTATTACCTCTCAAGAATTTATGAACTCTATGGCAGTAATGTAGTTATGCTAGACAACTGATGTCTCTGAATCTATGTTTCTATAATCAGCTACCGGACGAGTGACAACAAGAGTAGATGTTTATGCATTTGGAGTGGTGTTGATGCAACTTTTGAGTGGGAAGAAGGCCTTAGATGATGCAATTCCCGATGAAAGGTCTCTCTTGGTTACATGGTTCCGCAGATTCCTTATTAAGAAGGAAAACATTCCAAAGGCTATTGACGAAACTCTTAAGAGCCATGATGAGGAGAAAATGGAGTGTATATACAAAGTTGCTGAGCTAGCAGGACATTGCACTGCTCATAATCCATTCCAAAGACCAGAGATGGGCTATGTGGTCAACATCCTGGCTCCTCTGGTTAGGAATTGGAAGCCTACCAGTCATGAAGAAGAAGAAAAGTATGGCATTGATCGGCACATGAGCCTTCCTCAAGGATTGGAATGGCAAGCCAATGAAGATGCTTCTGATGTTGAAGTCTTTTGGCTTACCAGTATTCCCAGAAGTTTAAGTTGTTAGGATTTTAGACCAACAATTGTTTTATATTCTATCACTTACCCTCATATGTGAGCCTCTTTTCCACATTTGGAAAGCAAGAAAACTTCTGGGGTCCCTAATGGTTTCCCCTACAAGTCTATATATTGAAATACCAAGTAGGACCCTGGCTCCCTACTGGTGGACATTTTGAAACAGCAACTAAATTCTCATTTAACAAATTTAATAGTAGCCAACCTTTCTTCTTAAGGATTAGAATAAAATACTCCAATCAAAATGCTAAGATGTAACCTTTTCTTAAAAAACGAAAGAGAAAACGAGTTACGGCATGCTTGAAATTGCTTTTGAAAATGCTAAGATCATTTTCTAGCAATTAAAAGCGTCTTTAAAAGATTTTGGCAAAAAAAACTTAAAAGTGATTTTAGGTTATAAAAACACTTTCTAAGAAGCATCAGAAAGCACTTGTTTTTTATAATGACATGGATGGTCCTCTTGCCATTCTATCAAATTGAGCTCTTGTTTTTGATATGGCCAAAATGAAAAAGAAGATGATCCTACTTGCTTTTGGGGAATGAGATTCTTTGTCTTACTGGTAAGTTCTTCACTTGAATTGATGCTATTGATGTTGACTTTATTATTACTGAACTGGTTTTCCTGTGTTTATTGTTGGGAGATACTTTGTTATCCTTTGAAGGATTGAATATACTCTTGGGAGAGAGAACTTTGTTACGCTATATCTAGATAAATACTATTTTTGAATTACTATGGGGTTATGCTAGTGAAATAAAGGCGTACTCTTTTCAGATGTTGAGATAAAAGCTTGACTTCTTTTAACTGAGAAAATGAATGAATGTTGTGGGTATTTTCAACATACATGTGACCTAAATAACCATGCTCAATTAAAATTGCTAGGTAATTGGAATGTTGTATTGGTTATGCTCTAAATATAACTCTTTATATGCTGGCTAAATAACCAATTTTCGTCCAAAAGATCCCTTCATGTGAGGGAAATGTTCTTATTCCATCATGAAATTGGACGGAAAATTGGACATGTTCTTGAATTGCGATGGATAAGGGTCAAATCGCCATAAGTGAAACCATGAAAACCAAAGTAAAAACTCTGACAAACTACAGGAACCAAAACTGAATTGTAAAAAATATACATATGTCTCCACCTCAAGCTCGCTCTCTTTCGAAAATTGCGGAGAAAAATGAAGAAAATTAAACACAAGGTGATGTTCAATAATGGGAAAAGACTAAGGTTGTTGTTGTTGACCTCAATAAAGACTGAAGTTAACAACGGTTGCTATCTTAAGACCGTGACTTTGCAGGCTAAATGTCTTTTGGTGCGTTTCACATGGTACCAAAGTATAATGGAATCCATCGAAGCTTTGAAGGGCTGATTTAGCTTAGCAATAGCAACTAACGTGTTCATGGGGTTTCTTCTTTGGAAAAAGATATAGGAAATGGTTGACTCAACTTTTCTTTTTTGAAAGGCAAAGCACTGCCAAGTTGCCAACGCCAAAATGGTTGTCGAGGAGCGAAGCTAGTAAGCAATTGAATCACAAACACCGAATATCATGGCATGTTTAGAGGCGGTGAGGTTTGAACTAGAAGTTAGTATTCTCGTAACTTTAGGGCCAGTTTGGCATTGCTCTGTTGTGAAAATAATTGTTGTTAGATTTGCTGTACGAGAAAGCAGTTTGGCGTTTAGTAAACTTTTTGTTAGAAGTGTTGTTAGTATTGATTCCCGCATAATCAGAAAATGATTGCCGCATAATCATTAAACCTAGCGTCTCTTCGAAATTGATTCTTGCATAATCAGAAAATAAAAGCACATCATTAGTTGCTTTTTCTTATAGCTTTTTCTCACAGCAATTTTTAACAATAAGTGGTTTTCTCATAGTTTACCAAAAGGGCTGGGCTTCCCAATTTTTATTTAAAATCACTTATCACCCCAAATAAGCAATGTCAAACGGGCACTTAGTAATCTATTACCGGAATATAGACTTTTCCACCAAGAAAACCGTTGTAACAAAAGAAAACTTCCTTTTTCTTCTTTTTTTCTTCTTTTTTTTTGCCAAATTTAAAAAGGAGAGGGGGAAAACTCACACACAGGTACCGTGAAAACTTGAACCCATAACCACTTGGTGGGAGCACACCAAAAACTTGAGCCAATCCAACTACACCACATTGGTAGAAAATTGTTGTTATTGAACTGCAGAGTTATTATTGAACGACAAGATTGAACTCCTCAAGACACCCCTCAACATAAACCCCTTCATAGAAATGTGAGTATGCCAACAATTTTGTACCTATGTATATATCCAAAATAATGTCCCTAATCACAAGGTAATAATCAAAATTTAGTCTTCCACTCAATTTTAATGAAAAAAAGTTAGCAAGGTCTAGCACATTGGAAATTACCTTGATTTGCAAATTAGTGGTCTCAAGTTTGAACCCCCATGACACATTGACAGTAGTGGTCTCAAGTTTGAACCCCCATGACACATTGACAGTGTGTGAGAAACCTCCCCTCCTCCAATATCGTTTGTATAAAATAAAATAAAACAATCTTATCGAAGAATTTATTTTTTATTTTTTATTTTTTTAAAAAAGCATATGCTTTCCTATGCATGTGTTAGCCAAAGTTAAAGCACCTTGTCGGGCCTATGATTGCAACAAACTGCAATTTACTTTATACATGACAGCTCAAAGAGGCCCAAACCAGGATATATGCTTTATCCATGACCTGCTGTGGCTTTGACATTCAACCATAAAATCCTTGTCATTATATCATTCCACATAACACAATCAATCAGATTATTGGTTTCTTGGTCTCTGTCTCCTCTTTCTTACGTCTCTAAATTAACAATCAATTCACATGGAAAAAAAAAAAGGCTGGCCGATATCAATTGAAAGGAAATATATGCTTATATTAAGGTCCCTACAACATGTGCAGCACTACAAAAGTCATCTTCAAAACAAAAGGTCCACTTTTCAAGCCACCTAACATGTTTCCTTCCAAATCCTCTCTTCTCTTCCCCATGTGCAATTACGTACAGCTTCAACACCACCACCGAATTCCCTTATAAATATTTAAAACAATACGTCTACAAACATGCACATCAACTATACTAACATGCACCTCTCTCTCTCTCTCTCTCTCACACAGATCAACCTAACCCTTTAATAACCAAATCTTTGTTTCTTTTTTCTGTCATTAAATCTTGCAAAATAATAACTTGAATCCTAAGCAGTCCTGTTGTTACACAGCCTGGAGAATCATTCAAACACATCAAACATAATGAATGATTTGTCATAAGGGCAGAGCAAATTGGCAACAGTCCAGCCAACAAGCATTATTCAAAGTAAAAGAATATCACTAGAAAAAATTGCCTTTAATGAGTATGGTAATAGAATATTATACAACAAACTTTCTTTAGTTTCCTTCATTTTTCTTTCTCATGATCACCAACTCAATCTGTTAGCTATCAAAGAATCAAGAACATAAAGTTTTTACAGGTTTCATGCAAGCTCATTAGTAACATAAGGATCGTTAAAACATGAAAAAAGAATAAATACAAGAATCTTCAATACACGGGTGATCCGCTGGGATCAAAACTGCTTGATGCTTTTTTACTCGATTATATCTTCCTCACCCCGACATTTTTGGGTCTCTTTTTCTTGGTTTTTAAAAGTGAATTGATCTCTAGCTTTTCATATCATCGACAATCCATCGAATCGAATGAATCAGCAAATCCAGAAGGTTTCGAAGGGATGCTTGATTGAGTTTGAGAGTAGGACAGATCATCAAACATCCTGGAAGTACCTTCATTGGCTTGCCATCTTTGCAATGCTTGAGGAAGGCTCATGTGCAGGTCAATGCCAGAATTTTCTTCTTCTTCATTGGTGGTAGGTTTCCAGTGCTCAACAAGAGGACCCAAGATGTTGACTGCATGTCCCATGTCTGGTCTCTGGTATGGCTCACGAGCAGTGCAGTGTCCTGCCAGCTCAGCAACTTTGTATATGCTTTCCATTGTCTCCTCATCGGGGTCAAGCGTTTGGTCGATAGCCTTTGGAATGTTTTCTTTGTTGACAAGGACTCTGCGGAACCATGATACCAAATGAGACCTTTCATCTGGCATGGTATCATCTAGGGCTTTTCTGCCACTCATCAGCTCCATTAACACTACTCCGAATGCATACACATCTACTTTTGTCGTCACTCTGCCAGTAGCTGATCATAGAAACACAGATCCAAAAATGAACATTCTCACATCACGACATATATATCATAAAGCAAACTGAATCCATATCAAAATTCTTACAAGGGATTACAGTAGGTCCTATGTAATTGAATAGGCATTTTAACTAGCAGTTTTGCAACATACATATATAGGATTAGCTTGAAAATCTGTATACTCGAAGCTTAGGAAATTGCATGATTCTTTCAATTAAAGGATGGAGGTCTAGAAATTAGAGGGATTTTCTTACCTGCATATTCTGGTGCAAGATACCCAAATGTCCCTGCCAACCGTGTCTCAACAGAATACTTTCCGTCGGGGGCATTTTTAACCAAACCAAAGTCAGCAACCTTTGCCCTCATGTCATCCCCAAGAAGTATGTTAGATGGTTTCAAGTCTCTGTGAATGAAACTTTGTTGAGCTAAGCTGTGCAGATATTCCACTCCTCTTGCCACATCCAATGCTATTGTTACTCTCTGTTTCCAAGTAAGTGGAGGTACTCCGATCTCACGCCAATCAAACAAATGCTGTGTTAATGTCCCTTGTGGCATGTACTCATATACCAATAGCCTCTCATTGCCATTGATACAGTATCCTAAAAGAGCAACCAGATGCCTATGCCTGACCTTAGTGAGGACTGCAATTTCTGCCTGAAACTCATTCAACCCTTTAGTTCCCACTGCCACAGATTCCATCCTCTTAACAGCAATTTTAGTACCATCATGCAATTCACCTTTATAAACAACTCCAAACCCTCCTCTACCCAAAATGTTATCCTCACTAAATTTGTTTGTCACATCTCTAAGAACGTGGATCGAAATTGCAACATTTCCACCCTCAAAAACATGAAGATCACCACTGCTCTGGCTATGCAAATCGCTTTGAACTCCATTATACCCATTTGCACTACTCATCACATCACTCTTAGCAATTTCGATCCCATTCATTGGGTTATCGACCCTTCCAAATTTCCCATGCTTTTTACTAGCATAACATTTGATGGACACAAATAATACCACCACAATGAATATTACAACAGCAATAACTATACCAGCAATCATACCAGGAGACACTGAAGAACCAGCCGATGCGGGAGCCGGACTCCCATTGGGAGTAGTTCCGTTCGAACCAGACCCAGATGGAGTTCCTCCTCCTCCTCCTCCACCTCCAGAGCTCGGAGTAGTCCCAATCAAGACATTGCCTGTTGTAATTAACTTCACCGTATATGGGAATTTCGGAATTTCCCCAAAAAGATTGTTATTGGAAACATCAAGAAGCTGAAGCTGCTGCAAGGTTAACAAGCTAGCCGGTATCGACCCGGTCAAATTGTTATTCTTCAACACCAAATTTTTCAAAGATGTCAAATTGGCAAAAGCAGGCGAAATGATCCCAGTGAAATGCTTGTTCTCAAAATTCACAGTGATAACCTTTCCTTGCGTATCACAAACAATGAAGCTCCATCCATCGCAAGCATTGTTTCCTTCCCAAGACTCAGTAAGCAAAATTGGGTACCCCAAAGCCCTTGCAACCTCAAGCAGAGTGTTGACCTGCGGATCACAAGGTCCTGGTTTGGTTTGGCAGAAGCTATTAGTACCATCAAATGTGGCTTTTTTCACATTGGACCCAAACACAGGCAGAGGACCCTGCAGCTTGTTATTGTCCAAAGAAACGTTTTGCAAGGCAGTTGAGGACATCAATGTGGCTGGCACAATGCCAGTTAACTGGTTATCACGAAGCTGAAGATCAAACAAAGTTTCACACTTTGAGATGTCTGGGATCGGACCAGTGAATAGGTTCTTATGGAGCCAAACCTGGTTTAACTGGGTCATGTTTGTTAAAACTTCAATCGTACCAGATAACCCAAATTGCTGATTGTTAAGCCAGAGGTTTTGAATCCCAGATCCAGAAAAGCTTTTGGGCAAAAACCCAGAAAAATTATTGTAAGAAAGCCTCAGATTTTGCAAGTTTGGAAAGGAAGCAAAGATATCAGGCAAAGACCCATATAAGTTTGCATTACCTGCAGCTAAAGTGACCAAGCTTGAAGCTTGAATGAGCTCAGTGGGGAAAACCCATGGATCAAGATTGATGTTTTGGCTCATGCTCAAAACCTGCAAGCTTGAGAGGCCTTGAAAACATCCAGAAGGAATGGAAGTGAAATTGTTGGTGTCCAGAAAGATTTGTTGGAGAGCAGAGAGGTTGGCTAAAGAAGGAAAGGAGCCAGAAAGAGAGTTGCTTTGGAGTGAGAGGGTGGTGAGCTGAGTGAGAGAGTTGAGATTTGAAGGGAGAGAGCCAGAGAGAGACATGGAGGATAAGTTGACGGTGGCGACTCTGTTTCCGACACATTCGATGCCCTCCCAGTCGCAGTAGGTTTTGCCTGTTGACCAGTCTTTGGGTGTGTTCTTGAGGCCTTCTGCAAGCTTCGACATCACATCTGAGTCGTCTGCTGTGGCGGCGGTGGTGGTCAAGAGGAGAAGAGAGAGTGTTAGGCGGAGAGCTTGTAGGGTTTTCAGCTGACCCATTCCTGGGTTTGAGAGAGAGAGAGAGAGATGGGTTTGGTTTTTTCCTCCGGTTTTGTGAGTGAATGGGGTTTTGTACAGACAACAAAGGCAAGCTAGGGAAGAGTGCTGCTCTGTTGGGGAATGGGCTGTGCTCACGGCTCTTGAAACCATAGGGTTTTCTTTTTCTTTTTCTATAGTTTCTTTTTTTAATCTTTTTATTTTTTTTCTGAGATTTTGTTAAGTTGGATACTATATACGGTAGTGATGACCTGTTATGATCTTAAAATATTTGGGAAAAACATCGAGAACTTACTATTTTGATTAATCATTTATAATTTTGAGATTGCAATTTGAAAATAGAGGTTAATGCAATAAATAGAAATAAAATTGTTTTGTTTATCTTATTAGTTAACTTAACCCTTATTTAATGAATTGAACTTGTAATGTGATTGAACTTTATATAACTAGGCCATTAGTTGTCAAATAAAATTATAATTATTACATCAAAATACTTTGTGTTAATAAATTAATAATCTCATCAATTCTTTTGTTTGTTCAATTTTTTTTTAAGTACAATTGATAGTCTAAACTACAAGGGAGGGTGATTTCTCTCACACACACAACTATGATGTTGTGTGAATTCGAATTTGAGACTTTTGGTGTGCAAATTAAGGTCCTTTTCAATTGAATTAGACCCCGTTAACAAAAAAACATACATTCTTATAACCATTATGCTTTTCTCCTCTTTTTTATGTGGGGACGTAGCATATTTTTTCTATTCAATGATTTATAGATGGTATATATGTGTTATTTTTGTGGTTTGAATTTAGTAGTAAACTAAAGTAAAATCCTAAACAATTAGCCTTTTTAATAAAAACAACCGTTTTAAAGAACAATTTAAATTACTACTACAAGTAATGATTTAGTAAATTATAAATTAATGTTTTAAAAAAATAAAAAGGAATTGTAGGCTAATTTACCCAATGTACATGGCAAGGGCACTAGATGCTAGGAGGCATTTTTCTATGTTTGTAGTTTTGATATTAGGGAAGGAGGAATTCGAACACAAAACTTTAGGTACATGAATAACTC